GCCGCCGCCGCCTCAGCAGCAACAGAGCGGGCAGCAATACAACGGCGAGCGGGGCATCTCCATCCCGGACCACGGCTACTGCCAGCCCATCTCCATCCCGCTGTGCACGGACATCGCGTACAACCAGACCATTATGCCCAACCTGCTGGGCCACACGAACCAGGAGGACGCGGGCCTCGAGGTGCACCAGTTCTACCCGCTGGTAAAGGTGCAGTGCTCGGCCGGCGCGCGCCAGGGCTGCGAGGCGCTCATGAACAAGTTCGGCTTCCAGTGGCCGGACACGCTCAAGTGCGAGAAGTTCCCGGTGCACGGCGCAGGCGAGCTGTGCGTGGGCCAGAACACTTCGGACAAGGAGGCAAGTTCTCCTGCCCACGCGCCCTCAAGGTGCCTTCCTACCTCAACTACCACTTCCTGGGGGAGAAGGACTGCGGCGCGCCCTGCGAGCCGACCAAGGTGTACGGGCTCATGTACTTCGGGCCCGAGGAGCTGCGCTTCTCGCGCACCTGGATCGGCATCTGGTCGGTGCTGTGCTGCGCCTCCACGCTCTTCACGGTGCTCACGTACCTGGTGGACATGCGGCGCTTCAGCTACCCCGAGCGGCCCATCATCTTCCTGTCGGGCTGCTACACGGCCGTGGCCGTGGCCTACATCGCCGGCTTCCTGCTGGAGGACCGGGTGGTGTGTAACGACAAGTTCTCCGAGGACGGGGCGCGCACCGTGGCGCAGGGCACCAAGAAAGAGGGCTGCACCATCCTCTTCATGATGCTCTACTTCTTCAGCATGGCCAGCTCCATCTGGTGGGTGATCCTGTCGCTCACCTGGTTCCTGGCGGCCGGCATGAAGTGGGGCCACGAAGCCATCGAGGCCAACTCGCAATATTTTCACCTGGCTGCCTGGGCCGTGCCGGCCATCAAGACCATCACCATCCTGGCGCTGGGCCAGGTGGATGGCGACGTGCTGAGCGGGGTGTGCTTCGTGGGGCTCAACAATGTGGACGCGCTGCGTGGCTTCGTGCTGGCGCCGCTCTTCGTGTACCTGTTCATCGGCACGTCCTTTCTGCTGGCCGGCTTCGTGTCGCTCTTCCGCATTCGCACCATCATGAAGCACGATGGCACCAAGACCGAGAAACTGGAGAAGCTCATGGTGCGCATCGGCGTCTTCAGCGTGCTTTACACGGTGCCGGCCACCATCGTCATCGCCTGCTACTTCTACGAGCAGGCCTTCCGGGACCAGTGGGAGCGCAGCTGGGTGGCCCAGAGCTGCAAGAGCTATGCCATCCCCTGCCCCCACCTCCAGGCCGGCGGAGGACCCCCGCCGCACCCGCCCATGAGCCCCGACTTCACAGTCTTCATGATCAAGTATCTTATGACGCTGATCGTGGGCATCACGTCAGGCTTCTGGATCTGGTCTGGCAAGACCCTTAACTCCTGGAGGAAGTTTTACACGAGACTCACCAACAGCAAACAGGGGGAGACCACCGTCTGAGACCTGGGGGCTTGCTCAGCCCGTTCCCAGCCCAGTTCCCAGCCCTCGGCCCGGGCCCAGCCACCTTTCCAAAAACCTTTCCCCATGGAATCCTGGCCAACCCTGGCTGCTCTATGCTTCCTCACTAGACACTTTCGCAGGCTTCTTTTTAACACCATAGCTCCTGCAAAAGCTTCCGTCCCTGGGGGCAAAGGGACTCCAGGGCCCAACTGCCCGAGGGGGGATGGACCGACCTCTCTCCCCGGTACCAGGACTGTGCGCTTTTATGATTGTAAATAGCCTGTGTAAGATTTTTGTAAGTATATTTGTATTTAAGTGACGACTGATCACGCGATTTCTTTTCCTTTTCTTTCCTTTCCTTTTTTTTCTTTGTTTGTTTCAATTTGAATTACTTAGGGCGGTTTAACCATTTGAAGCTTTTCCTTCTTGCCCTTTTCGGAGTACTACAGAGATAAAAACAGAGCGCTCCCGCCGGGTGCTCCCGCTGGTTCGCGCGCTTCCCTCCTGCCGCCCTGCCGCCGGGTGGGTGGGGTGTATCTTGGGCTAGGTCCGGGTCACTCTCCACCCCCTTGTTCTGCTCCCTCCCTTCCTCTCCTTGCTTGAGTTTGGAGATCTTAAGGTACTGAACTTCTTAAAGCTTTCATGTCTTCCCTTGTCGGGGCCAGATTTCCAAGGTCTGCCCCTTTGACTCCCGGAAGCTGAATTTTTCACTGTTGAGAACCTTCCCCCTCGCTTCAAGGAGGCCCACGTCTGTGGTTGCCGGCAGTCCCAGACTTCCTCTGCACCGGCCTCCAACGCCCAGACACTCCCTCCTTCCACCTAAGTCGGTTAGAGGGTGAGTGGGATAACCAATGCCAAACTTTTTAAAGTCTAATTTTTGGTGGCTGAGCTCATTTCATTCTCTAGTGTCTAAAACCTGGTATGAGTTTGGCCAGCGTCATGGAAAGATGTGGTTACTGAGATTTGGGAAGAGGCATGAGGCTCTGCGTGGGTTGGGAGGGACTGAAGATGGGGGTTATAAAATGTTCATTCTAATTGTATACCGATGCCTGGCAACCTGCCTGTAGGACTGAGGCAGTCCGGGTTTAGATTTTAGCGTTCTGTGAAATGGAAATGTTGAGGTCACCTGGAAAGCTTTGTCGAGGAATTGATCTTTGCTTTCCTTAACAGGACTGCAGGACATAAACTGAATATGAAAACTTGAAGGAGATTTCAGTGTAATGGACTTCCTCAAAATGAAGTGCTACTTTCTGATTTTTTTAATCAAATAATAATTAGACATATATCAGAAACTTTAAAATGTAAAAGTTGTACTTTGGACATATTCTGGTTCTTATTCAGCAACACATTCTGAGGGAGGAACAATCCACATCATTAATAACAACCTGGTAAGAGTCCCAGAGGTAAAGGAGGTGGAATAATTGATGGGATTAGCTCCTGAAATTAACAAAATATGGGCATGCATGCTAAAGGGAAACTGTGCAGGTCTGCTGCATTCAATCCTGTATGCTCCTTTTTGGATTTACAGAAATGTATCAAATGTAAATCTTTCAAAGCCATTTAAAATATTCACTTTAGTTCTCTGTGGAAAAGATGAGACAAGCAATCCTCCTGGTTGTATTATAAACTTTAAGAGTTTATCAAAATGCCGGTACTTAGGACCTAAATTTATGTCTGTCATACCCTAAAATGACAATGGTCTTTGAATTTGGTATGCATTTATTCTGTTCACTATCACAAAATCATCTATATTTATAGAGGAATAGAAGTTTATATATATATATTATACCATATTTTTAATTTCGCAAATAAAAAAATCAAAGTTTTGTACAAAATTATATGGTTTTTGTGCCTGAAAATAATAGCGTTGAAACTGTCTAAACTACAAACTATCTTTACATTTTATAGTGTCTCATGGCCAGTCCCACAGTATATAAATTCAGGAATTCAATGAAAAAGCCTATCTTTAAACCTTCATACCCATCCTTCCAAAGACTTATCGTACTTGCATTGTGATTGACATTGTGAAGTCCCTAGAAAAGATCTGCTTGCAGGACAGTAACAATATAAAAGAGAAGTTTGAACATTATTTCTTTACTCAAAGAAAATTATTAAAAAGAGAACTCTAATTTTAACATTAAACCTTTTTTTTGTTTCAAGGGGTAAGTTTACATGATTTTTTTTAATATGGAGGTTTATTTTTAAATCATCAGCCATCACCTTTATCACAGTTTTTATGAGGTATTGTCTTATATTTTCCATAATCTTGGATATTCCAGAACCATAAATAGGTATTCAATAAATGGTTAACTGACTGTGTTTATAAGTATTTTAAACAGCAGTTGGTTGTATAAGGTTGTTTTGTTGTTTGCTTCTGAAGACTCCATTTTTATATTGTTTAAGGAACCTTCTTCAGAGGCATTATCTAGTTGGTATAGTCTTAGAATTTATATACATGCATATAAGTAGAATATATATATGTACATATCTATTTACACATACACACACACACACATATATATATATAAGAGATGCAAAGTTTACTTACACATTTTACAATGTGGAAATAAGGTTATGAGAAAGAGAAAATGCCAGATGGGAAACCTTAAATACCTTTGAAATACTCGTCTCTTATTCCTTTACAGATTAAAAATATCTTTATTAAATTTTCCATGAAAACAAGTGGTGTGATAAAATGACAAGGGGCTAAAATGAAGATCACTGATACAATAGAGTTACTCTCATGGTTATAAGGCTATTGTCTTATGTGATCATTATTTCAAGGTAAATGAAAAAGTTCAATCTAATTGAAAATATAGCATTCTGTTTTAAGTTCCAAGATGCTATTTTATGCTCTTTTTTCTTTGTTACATTAATATAGTAAAATCTGAAAAGGTTTTATTGTATAAACACAAAAAATAGCAATTCTTATACCAAATCAAAATATGTCTCTTCACAAGATAATTCAATCAGATAATTTCTGGGGAAAAAGGAGTAAGATTATTTTTCTCTATCCAAGGAATAAATATAAAGCATTCTTATTGTGGGTGTCCTTAAAATAATGTAACTACAAATTTGATGCAGAAAGGTTTTACAATACTGGATTTAAATAGCTTTTAAAGACATTTTTAAGATGGCACCAAGCTTTGTGTTTAGAAAATAACTTATTTTAAATTATGTAGAATATAGAAAACCAGTATATTATTTTGTTTCTTCCAATACTGGTGGCAAAATAAGACTTGCCTCCAAAATTGTAAAGCTACTGGGAGTTTGGTACCATTAACTTGCTGTTTCCATGATAAACCCTATTTTCAGATGGTTTGGTTTGCCTATCAATGGGAATCAATTTTCCCCCTCACCGTGTGCTTGATTCAGCTTTTATACATAGTATGAAAGCATTCTGGTGCTCTATTTTTTTTAAAGGCATTTTTAACTTGAACTTTGTGGGGGCAGAAAGTCATATTTTTAATCTCAAAGCCAGCAAGTGTCAAACATATGCAAAACAGCTGGACCAGATATTTCAGTTTGTCTGGGGTAGTCATTTGTCAGCCTGAGTTTACAGATTTGGTCCTTTTGTCTCCAGTGACCACTGAAGCCTTCCTGTAGTTGCATCATTTCTGAAGTCCAGTATTTAACTAGGAAAGGAGACCACAGTGAAGAGTTGGTGGCCAATTAAGAAAAAAAAATATGCCTAAACCATAAACCATTTCAGGACCTGGATGGTTTCCAATCACTTTCCCTGATATCATGTTTCAATCTTGGTATACTTTTGTTTTTTTTAAAGATGCCATATTTTCAGTGTGTGTATTTGGGTTCAACTTCAGCTCCTCTAGCTTTTATTGCTTTCTAATCCATCTATTGGCTGTAGGCCACATTTTATGTAATGTACATGCAGTTAATTGAAACCAGTGGTATTACACTGGGTATCTCTGACATTTCTGATTATAATATTCTGTGTAACGGGCCTGAGAGATAAGAATCAAAATGTGCTCATTACCTATGTATTAGGGTGGACACTAGTCATATAGTTATTGAATACTTCACAGAATATACTAATTTCAAAATCTTGCCAGATTAACCTGCAGGAGCCAAAATTAGATATGGACTATGTAAGAACTCTGCAGTTACATTATTAGAAAGAAATTGCAACACTACCTGAAATTCAAGGCTTTTATCTTAAGGCCCTTACATTTGAAATGAGGGTCTTACAAGGGAAGTGCCAAACAAGGTAAAGTTGGTGACTCCTAAGATTTACATCTATATTTTGAACTATTGGCAGATACCAATAGAATTTGAAAAACAGTACTTGAGCTTCAATCATGACTCAGAATTCCCTTAAACTTTTGGGGCTTAACTATTTCTGTTCACCTTGGTCATACCTTTTGACAATGAATATGTTAAGTATAGTGACAAAGGGGAGCTTATTTGGAACCTGGTGATTAAAAAGCAAATAGAGTCAAGACTAATTTTATTCAGTTTTATGACTTGTGGTGACAAGTGTCTCTATTCTGTTATAAAATCAAGTTCCTGTTCAAATAAAATAACACTTCCTTTGGTTACAAGTTGATTTGGGACCCTAATAACAGGTCAAATCAAAGAAATCTTTCTCATGCAGTGGATAGGCTCAAGTATAGCTATAAGTATATCCTATAATGAACATGTAATAAATATTCTGAAGGTTACCATTAGTTTTATAAGTTGAGAAGATTCTTAAATTGCTTGAAAAAATAAGATAACATTTTCTAATAGAGATTCTCTAATCATTTTATATTAAGATGGTGATATTTTAAAGAGGCATATTTGGGGGTGATAAGTAACATTGCATTTTCTAAAGGGATTATTAATACACTAGTTGACTGGCATATTTGTATAACTCATAATTCTAAAAGCAAAGTTGCACACTGATTTATTCCTTTACATTGAGTTTAATTGTAAAGCATTGATTTGCACATTTTACACATGCATTCTATTTTTTAAATAAAATTTACTTCCCTGAAGACAATTTTTAAGTTTTAAAATGTCTAATATGCATATTTCATATGAAGAAGATCTCAAGAAATTTCATTCATAGTATTGACTTTCAAAACATGTTCATAGGAATATAGTGATTAACATGAAATGGAAGCACTATTGCTCCTTTGGGGGAGTTCTCTGTGGCCTGGGTTTCTTTTCTTTTTAAAAACCAAATGTCTTCTAATTTGTGGGTATCTCCATGTTTCAGATCTCAATACCTGTTTGAATTATATTTGCTGGGGAATAACTGCAGAATCCCCCCCATAGACAAAGTGTAGCCTTTATTTCCTTTCAAGTTGGCAGTGTGTCCTTGCTTCAGTGAAGGGCTCTGAGAC